AATTTAGGTGTTCAAATGGACCAAAAAAATTAAAATGTTCATGATTGAGAGTGAGAAGAGTGTTAAGGACAGGGAAGAAGTCCAGCATTTGGTATTACCATTGGATTATATTTAGCTGTAAAAAGGACCACAACTTTCGTGTGCGTAAATATCGGGAAAATGCCCACGGTAAAAAAAAGATAAAAGTAACATCTGGGCACAGCTATATGGCATTTCAAAACGAAACTTTCCAAAATGGATTTGTCATAATGGGACTTCCAACATATTGTAGTGTATGGTATCACATGGTCGGCCCCGCACTGCTATGACCTTAGCTTACTTGTTATATATATAGGGTGGGATGAAAAACTGCAACCAACTTCAGACTGCTGTCATTTCCAAGCCACTCGTCCAACAGCTGTTAAAATTATTCCAGTGACATTATTTTGTTCGTTTCCAAAATGAGTCAAATAGCGCGAAAGATGAATGGAATGCCTGGATGTTCTCTCAAAAATATGATCCTAACTGTTCATTCTTCCTATTCCATGGCAAATCTTGTTAATATTTTTAATGCGCGCCCTTCAATTTAAGTTATTTCCTATCATTGATTTTGAAAATGTTTTGTTTTTATTTTTCAAGACAACAAATACATACACAAAATTGGCAGAATCGGACACTTGAAAAGAAAATATTATTATCAGCTGGGAGCTCTACCTTACCTTTCTATTGTACCATGATCCTAACTATAAAGCATTTATTATATCTTCCACCCATCAAGGTAGGGCTATGATACCATATGATTTTAATTTTTTTTATTTTCTTGGTTAAATATGTCAACTATATTTGTTTATGTATGTGTTTCCTTTTCAAAGACAAAAAAATGTTCAGAAAATATTCAAATTCGAGTGTTTTCAAAATGTTGATTTCAATGTATGCATCGAAACAATCTTCAGTTTTTGTAGCGAAATAAACCTTTAGAGAATAATAATATAATATGATTTTGAAAATAAATTTTGACCTTTCATTCAGTTTTCGCGGTTCTCAATTATTTATTCAAAATAAATGCAACAACTTGTTTGAATTTTTATTGTTTTGATACTAATTCTGACATTACAAGCCAAACAGGTAGACCTCTATACTTGCAATTTTTTCGAAGTTAACCTACCTACTCTTCTTTGTACCATGCCTTCCACCATTCTATGGAGGGTATATTAACTTTGTCATTCCGTTTGTAACTCCCCCAAATATTCCTAACAGACCCTACAAAGTATATATATTCTGGATCAGCGTAAAATTCTAAGACGATCTAGCGATATCTATATGTCTGTCTGTTGTAATCACGCTATCTTTCGAACGAATTGAGATAGAAGGCTAAAATTGTGCATACATGCATAGTTTACCGATAGGCAGGTTAAGTTCGTAACCGATATTCGGTATTTTCATTATTTTAGCGACAGTATTTGCCGGAATCATTTCAAATTTCGTATTGGGAGATCTTACTGGTTACTACAACCTATGGAAAAAAAGTTTCGTAAGCAGGTCCACGTCTTCGTATAGCCCCTATATAACGGTGTCTCCCGATATTCGGTATTATCGTGATTTTAGCGACATTATTTACCGGAATAATTTCATATTTCGTATTTGAAGTTCGTAATGGGTGCTACAGTCTATGACAAAAATTTTTGTGTGCAAGTCCACGCCTTCGTATAGTCTCCATATAACAGTTTTCATTGGTTTTCAAGTGTCAGTTTTCGGAAGTTTTTTGAAAATTTTCAAGTTCCATACAAATGGTTTAGGGTATTAAATGTTCGGCCCGACCAAACTTAGCTGCTTTTTTACTTGTTTTTGGATTAAAAATAATGCAGAGCGTCTAAAAGTATGCCATTAAAATGCTACAGATAACTGTGGACAATTTACATATTACTCTAACATCATGCGTAATATAGACCAACATAAAATACATATTTGGAGAAAATATTTCAGTGTCACTCTTAACATCTTAGCGGTAATTTCTGCAACAATATTTAGTGATGTAAATATGTGTAGCTAAAAATAAAACCGAATTTTTTGAAAACTACATATTTAAGCTCGGATTTGGGCAGATATATGAGTTACAAATTTTTTTCATAAAAATACCCGATTACTACAAATACTCAAATAGTTTATATTAGCTTTTCTAAATTGTTGCTGATGTTTCCATTTTGTTGTTCCATGCATACTTTTTTTGTGTATTTAATAATTCTTTTTTGAACATTATGCTGTATATTAAGTGTAATATCTTCAGTGATATTTAATTTGTATGTAACATCTTGAAAAAGTAGTTTCTTTCTATGTTTGTTGTATATAAATATAATTCACAATTGCATAGCAACGATTTATTTGATCTGTTATAATATATATATTATTTTATAATTATTACAAATATTTGCCATTATTTTAATTCAATTTTTTTTATTGTGTATTTCAATACAATTGTCTTTATGGTGTGATTAGGCAGATGGTTTACAGGATATTGTTTAATAAAAAGAAAAAATAAATAAACTAAGATTACAATTATTACAAAAAAAAGCTGTACAAGGAGCGGGTGTAGTTAAAAGACATACAAAGGCGGTTAAAAATTATAGACAAACAAATTTTTATGGAAAACAATTAAAGAAGGAGCAGTACCAAAAAATCAATTCAAGTCTAACAGTACGTTTACAGTAAGTACTGTACAGTATCAATACGTTTAGTAAACTCAGAAGATTTAAATTTGCCAATTCAATTACATACAGGGTGAGATGAAAAAACTGCAACCATCTTCAGACTCCTGTCATTTCTAAGCCACTCGTCCGACAGCTGTTAAAATTATTCCAGTGATAGCTCATTATATTGTTTACAAGCGTACAAAAGCATTTTGTTGAGAATTTTTCAGAAAAAAAAGTTATTCGTGATGGAATTCAAGCGTTATAGTATGATTTCTTTATATTTGGCTGCAAAACCATAAGTGGCTATCGTTAGAGCACTCCAGCATTTAAATGTGAATAAATATTTTGTGTCTCGTACCATCGTTCGTTAGCGTGATACTACTAGCGTAGCCCGATGTCAAGGAAGTGGATGAAAAACAGCAACATCAGCTGAAATGATTCGAAAAGTAAAGGAACGACTTGATCGAAACCCGCGTCGCAGTGGCCGAAAAATGGCTCGTGAGCTGAACATATCGCAATATTCTATTCGGCAAATATTTAAAAAATGAGCTCGGGATAAAGCTATTGAAATTCCAAAAAGTGCAAGAACTTGCACCGCAATAGAAAGAAAATAGACTCAAAAGAGCTAAAGAGTTGCTTCGCTGGGCCGAAAGTGGTGAATTGTCAAATTTGGTGTTCTCCGATGAGAAAATATTCGTTGTCCCGCAGTTTGTAAATAAACAAAATTTTCGTGTTTACTTGCCAAAGAGGTTAGCTAAAAATATGCATCTTCGGTTGACCACAAGAGCTCAAGCGCGGCCATGGTGATGGTGTGGGCCGCCATAACAGCCGATGGTTGCTCTCCGCTTGTATTAATTGACAGTGGCATCAGAATAAATGCCGAATATTATCGCAAAAATATTCTGGAGGGAGTATTAAGCAAGCATTTTGTACGCAGACCTTGGACATTCCAACAGGACTCCGCACCATCGCACTCAGCACGCGCCACTCAGGAATGGTTACAAAATGAGGTTCCCCGCTTCATTACCAGCTCACACTGGCCACCAAAATTTCCGGATACCAATCCGTTGGGCTATTGTGTCTGGAGTATTTTGGAAAGCAAGGTTAAAAAATACCAAAGTGTTGATCACCTCAAGCAAGCGCTTCGCCGAGAATGAGCCAAAATACCGCAGAGCAATATTCGGGCAACGTGTGACGGTTTCATTGGCCGTTTAAAGGCCATAATTCGTGCCAAAGGTGACCAATTCGAACAAATCTAAACTTATTCTAAAATTCGATGCTATTTCTGAAATTTTTTGCTTTCATTCAATTAAATTTAAAAAATTTTAAAATTATGGCATTTGATATTGTTACATTTTTTATCTCACCCTGTATACGCCAAGTAAACCCTTTATAGTGGAGTTTAACCTTGCAAACAGTTACAGCCTTTTGCCGTGTGTACCTCCTTTATGAGAATTTAGTTGACGTGTATGCAATGCATTTGGCTATTTAAATCCACTGGGTATAGTTAAGCCGGTAACGTGTAAATGTACTATAACTTAAATATTATCTTTGCTCTGCTCCAAACCTGCAAGAATCTAATAGATTTTTTCGATATCGTAAAACAAATATGTTATGGTTATTATCAATTATGGTTATGGTAGTAACATTTTTACATTTGACAGATCGTTTATAACTCGAAGTAGAAAAAAGAAAGCTAAGTCAAATTTTAATTTATATTTTACGATAATTTCCATTAAATTATCCTTATCTGCCATAACCGCCTTCGATATCTCTTATAAAATGAATCTCAAGGTGTATCTTTAATACTTAGCTTTAAAAAAAGTTTTGTGGTTTCCAATTGATATATGGTATATCATAGTAGAATTAAGAAGGTTACCTCATTTTAAATAAGCATATTCAGCTTTGCTTTTTATGTAATTAACCTTTTCAAATTTAACTGTCTTTAAATGTTTTCAAACCTAAAGTTTTATAAAAAAACCAAATAAATGATACCACAAGACTACCTTCTTAATTCTACCATGTGCCATATAAATTAACAACAACAAAAAACAAAATAATATACAATCATGGCCAGAAATAAAACGAAAAAAAAAATAATAATAAATCAAAATGTGCGGATTTTCAAATGAACAAAATGAATTTTGAAACAAAAAAATTAACGGCTACAAAGCTAAAGAAAAGGGGGATAAGAGGATAATGAGGGGTAAAGGCTGTGGTTTCAAGTCCTCATATTGATGAAAATTATCTATTTTTGGTGAGTGGACATTTTATGCAAACACATGTTTTGGAACAAATATTAAGTGTATTCTATTCTATTCTATCTAAGGAAAAGGTCATTGAAGAGAAGTTATTTTCCATCCAAAGAAAACCTCGATTTGTGGGCTTAAAAAAGCAATCTGAAAGATCTTCCAATGGGACACAAAAGCAGACCTCTTTATTTAGGTCTTACATCCAAGGATCTGCCTTTTTATATATTTTTGCAGAAATTCGATCCTATTTGTAAAAGGACTTCGTCAGGCCTATTATATATAGAAAACCTTCTAACATAAAAAAACTACAAGATTTTAAAAAGTATTCCTCAACAGGTTTTCTACGAATAGAAGTCCTTTTACAGATCTGTAGATGGAAGCAGTCTTACATGACTTTCATAAATGCTTTGGAAGGTCTCCATATGTTGGGTAGGCAATAGCAGTAGGTATTTTCTGAATAGAACATTTTTAGAATGGCTTCTTTGGACAGAAAATACGAAGCAGAACTTTCACGGACTGAAGAATTTCGGCAGACAACTATATGCAGTAGACAGTCTGTCACAAGGACTACTTATAAGTGTTTTTTTTTTTTTTGTGGACAGAGGGCCACTAGCAGTTCTTTTGTGGTCGCAAGACCTTTGAACGGAACACCATAATCTGATCTTCTTAGTATAGCAGAACTGTAGTAAGATTCTTGCAGACAAAAGACCTTCAGCAGGATTCCTTAGACCTTAGACATTTGGCAGATCTTCTATGCACCTCAGCAGGTCTTTTGTGGACAGAAGACTTTCAGCAGGCTTTCTACCGAAGGAAAATATTAAGCAGGTCCTATGTGTACACAATACCTGCGGCATGTCTTCTGTGGTCAGAAAAACTTCAGGAGCTCCTTTGGTACTTCTGTAAACAGACGACCTTCAACATGTATTCTGTAGACCAAAGCCCTGCAGCAGGCCCTATGTGAATAGAAGACCATAAGTCTGTAGATTTCGTCCAGGACTTTTGTGAACAGGAGACTTTAGTTCGGGTTTCTCTTTGCAGAAGACCTTTAATTGGCATTTCGAGGGTAAAATTTTTTCAGTAGTTCTTCCATGGCTAAAAGATCTTCAGCAGAAAATGATGGTCTTCCATTCATAGGCATTCAACTGAATGTAATCTATTCATAGAAGACCTGCAAAAGGATCAGAGGACCAGCTGAAGTTTTTCTGACCATAGATGACCTGTTGAAGTTTTTGTGTCAACTCCTCAAGTAGATATTAGCAGGTTTTTGTCCACAAGAGACCGTTAGCAGGTCTTCCATATACAGAAGACATTTAGAAAGGACTTTTGTCAAATCTTGGTATTCTCTTGACAAAAGATATTTCAGGAACAGAAAAACTTCTGCAGGTGTTCTAAAAATCTCTAAAGAAAGAAAACCAAAATTACTATTGATCCTCAACAGGTATAAAGTTGACAACACATAGAAATATTTTTCCGGCATAAGTCACTGGCTCTCTTCTTCGCAAAAAAAAAAAACAAAGGAGCGTAAGGTGAACACGTATAAATGATGGGTCGAAATTGAACTAAGTCAGCTTACAAGTCTTTTGTTCTTTTACAAAGAAGTCAGCCGACGACTTAAGCCATTAAAACTATTTTTCTATATATCTGCATCTTAAGACTTAAACTGTGGACCTTACGGATTATTCTCTTTAGTTGTCTCCCTATCAATTTAAGATTATCTGGCGGTGTAAGTGGTTTCCGTGGATAGAAATGAGACCTCATACGAGTTTCAGACTTTTAGAGATTTTCTACATACATTTTTTTTAGAATAAAATATTCAAAAAAATCTTCACTAACACCCTTCTCCAGTCCTGGTATTAAAAAACCCTGTCAACATTGTCATCTTGCAGAGACATACAACACTTTCTTCTTCTTCTTACTGTATTGTCCCTTGAAACCACCGCGCGTCTCTATGGAATATAATGGAAGTAAAATGTTGTGCTTTCTTTGAAACTCAAAACATAGGTTAACGTTTTTCTCTCTCTCTCTCTCTTTCTTTTTCTCTCAAAGGTAACCGAAATTTTTGTTTCCTTCTCTCAGCTTATTTTCTTTTGTGACAACCAAAAATTGATTTATTTCACTTTTTTTCGTTTTATTTCAGGACTTTAAATGTCTCTAAGGATGTTAAAAGGTATTCGGCGAAGAACTATTTCTGCAGCTCCCCACCAATTACCTAAAACATCCAAATCACTTAGTGACATTTAAAGTCCTAAAATTGTTATAAGGATGATTTGACAGCAGCCGAGCAGTTCTTCCTCAGCATGCCGTAGAAATCGGCCAAACGTGTGGCCTCACGCCACCCCGCTTCCACGGCACCGTGCACCGTTGAAAAGTAATGATCACTGGTTGCCTCACCGGCAAATTGCACTATGGGTTTATCACAACGTGATTGATTGTACAGTGGTTCTACCGTGGGTTCACCATTCAAAACAGGTTTGGTCGTGACCACACTCAGAGGTTGGGCCAATTCGCGGGCACTGGTACCCACCTCTTCGGTGTACATGGAACGAAATGAATAGGAACCACGGAAATTCTCGTTGGTATACCATTTGGATACCCGGAAATTGCTGGGTTCAGGGATGTCCCATTGCAGGAATTTCCTGAATAAAAACATACAACCATCTAGGATTTCATCCTCTGGCAGTGTTTCCATGTGCCGACCATTGGCACCGATGATCCAACCACTCAACAGCCTAGGTTGATTGTGATCACAATAGAAGCCGAACACATCCTCCAGCCATGCCCGGCTTGTGCCTCGAATCTCCTGGATGTCTTCATCACGCCACAGCATTGTGAAACCAGTCCATTTGTCGGGCCAAAACTGCTGGGGAAATTCAATGAAAATTTTATTCACCGTGCCAAAAGCCAAGCCATCTATGGCCCGTTGTTTTTCTACTGGTAGTTTCGGTTCAAATAACTTCAGTTGTTGTTCCTTTAACACGCCCAAGGACACAGTTAATATCACGTGATCTGCCACAAAGCTATCACCATCCACGCAGCGTATCTGAACACAACAATCATTGCGATTCCATTCAATTGTTGCCACCTGTTTGTTGAGCAGTATCCTCTTCTCCAATATTCCCCACTCCTTTTTCACCTCCCGCGATTTCATCAGCAAACGTAAGAACTCGACATAGCCCTTGTCTTTCCAGTTCAGCAGAATATCACCTTCACATTCCCAATATTCCAAATAGCCCTTACCCGACACATCGTCCAGGGTGTCGGAAGCCTCAACGGAATTTTCAAATTTTTTATAGTTTTCAAAAAACTCCTTAGCTATCGCCATATCAATATCGGAATTTTCCGGACGCCTCAAAGCCTCATAGAATTTATTGTTCAAATAACTGCCCAGCGATCCGTTGCAGTTGCGCAGTTCCATTTGTCGTGTCACCAGACTGTCGTTGACAATATCTTTCAGTCGCTGGCTGACGTCTTCAGGTACAACTTCACGATTTGAGCGGACACACTGATAGGATTCATAGACATCACCGGTGGACTCGAGCAGGTCATGTTTGTGGGCCAATTCGTAGACCATATTGTCCTTCTCGCCATGACACCACTGGGCACCCAAGTCGATGACATTGTCGGCAAAGGGTATTGTGTGAATGCGACCACCTATCCTTGACTCAGCCTCAACAATTATCACATTTTCGAAACCATAATCCAATAGTTTTGTGGCGCAGGCAATGCCGGAAGCTCCCGATCCAATTATGACTATTTTCGGTTGATTCATTTCCACAGCAGCGACAGTCTCAATGTAGTTGCGTTACAAACTAAGGAGGTTTTTTTTGTGGGGGGATAAACTTGGAAGAAAGGATGTAAGTATAAGATCAAACGAAAGAAAGATAAATCTGTAAAGAGAAAAAACATATTGAGAGGATTAGCATTTAATGAAAGAGAGATAATTTTGTTGTTGCTGTTGTGAAAAAGTGAATTGTTGCCTTTGTTATCTCTTTCAGACATATTCGTCGGAGATTCAATAATATACATATACATAGAGTAGTGAAATAACTGACTGACTTAGTATCGGCCAGAACGGTTGAAGCTGTAATACATAAAATTGGAAGATAGTTGTATCAAAGCGATTTTGGAAATTCGAACTTTAAGGTTGCCAAAAGTATTACAATTTACTCAAAATTGAATATTTTGTATTGGACGAACGGAATGAGATAGTACAGGATAGATGTACATACAGGGTTATCAGAAATTTTAACTTTGAGGTTACGAAAAGTTCTAAAAGAGTACTAAACTTCTAAAACGGTATTATTTAAACGGGTAGAGCTTAAAACTTGAAATTCGGTATAAGAATAAAGATTGGAAAATAGGATTGATATATGAAAGTGGTTTTCGAAATGTGTACTAAGTGTACTAACTGTACGAAATTGTACTAAATTTCCAACAATTTGGCATATGGTGAATGGATTAAGCTGTAATATTATTATTATTATTATTATTATTATTTTTTTTTTTTTTTTTTTTTTTTGAACACGGGATGGTTTCGAAAATGCATATTATAATTGTACTTAAAGTGCTGAATGCTAATGGTATTGGATGAAGTGTTAGAGATGTTATTCTGAAATTTGAAATTTAGATTACTGATGGTATCTGTGTTTGAGATTTGTGAATGTACTAAATGGTTCTAAATTTGGTATTGGTTGAAGGAGTAGGGCTGAAATCCTCAAATTTGATATTGAGGTCTCATTGGTTATCTAGTTTTGAGGTTAAGATGTGGGTTTGGAAATGTGTACTAAATGGTACTAAATTCATTAATTGGCGAAATTACAGAGCTGAAATCCTGAAATTTGATAGATCCCACACATTTTAGTGAGGGAAGTGGTTTTGGTTATGAACGTACTAAAAGTATAAAATGCCACAAAATGTGCCGTTATTTTATGGGATAGAGACGGAATTCTGAAAATAGATATTTAGATACTTTTTGGTAGCTGAGATTGTGATATGGAACCGTTTTCCAGCTAAGTACCGAAATTATACGAAAAATACTAAATGTTACTAAATTTGGTATTGGGTGAACGCATAAAGCTGGAATACCGAAATTTTATATTGAGGTCTCTGTTGATATCTGCTGGTGGTTTAGCAAATGTGTACTATAATTGTTCGAAAAGTTCTAAATGGTACACATTTTTTATCACTGTTGGTGTCTAGAATGAAGTGATGTAGATTGTTTTGGATACGTCACTGTCCGTGTCGTTGGTAAAGGTTTTGTAAATACGTCCTATACCTGATCACTGTTAGTAAATAGGATGGAGAGATGTAGATTGCGTACTAAATGCTACTAAATTTGTATTGAAGCCGCTGTTGATTTCTAGAGTTTACATATGGAGACGTTGAAATACGTACGATTTGAGCAGGAAAATTGGATGTAAGTCCATTGTGCAACGGTTTTACAAATACCTCCACGGCAAACTTCAAATGAAAGATTTTTAAGACTATTTGGTGTAAAAGTAAAAAAAATTTCCTTTGGAAGGAAAAACTTGAATAACATATAAAACCTTGAATGTCTGAAAATTTAGTACGTTGTATGAAGTTTTGATTAAAATATTTTGTCAAACTGAATAAATTGTGAATTTGCAGTACTAAAAAAGCCTAACACTTACCGTTGGAACGATTCTAAAATTAACTAACAAAGCAGCGGACACTTGTTAGTATATATGTATATTTTATGAATAACTTGGTCCATAGACCCACCAAGGTCCCGGCCACACTGGTTAAAATAGATCACGCACGTTGCGTGTTTTGCTTCACAAACACCTTCAACTGTTCGACAAAATTCAACTCAACTTATTTTAATAATTACAAGGATTGGGAAAGTAGAGCTGAAAAAGGAAGACATGTGAATCGGCGTTTTGAAAGTTTGCAGCGCATAATAACCTATTTAGAAGAGGCAAGTTTCCCCTCTTCCAATTTTTTAAAATTTTCAGATTACGATTCCTTCAAATCCGATGATTTTCGGTATACAGGGTGATATGAAAAAACTGCAACCAACTTCAGACTGCTGTCATTTCTAAGCCACTCGTCCGACTGCTGTTAAAATTATTCCAGTGACAGCTCATTCAATTGTTTACAAGCGTACAAAAGCATTTTGGTGAGAATTTTCCAGAAAAAAGGTTATTCGTGATGGAATTCAAGCGTGATGGTGTGATTTCTTTATATTTGGCTAGAAAACCACAAGTGGCTATCGTTAAAGCACTCATGCATTTAAATTTGAATAAATCTTTTATGTCCCGTACCATCGCTCGTTACCATGATACTGGTAGCGTAGCCCGATGTCAAGGAAGTGAACGGAAGAAAACAGCAACATCGGCAGAAATGTTTCAAAAAGTAAAGAAGCGACTTGATCGAAACCCGCGTCGCAGTGGCCTAAAAATGGGTCGTGAGCTGAACATTGAAATTCCAAAAAGTTCAAGAACTTACACCGCAATTGAAAGAAAATAGACTCAAAAGAGCTAAAGAGTTACTTCGCTGAAGTGGTGAACTGCCGAATTTGGTTTTCTCCGATGAGAAAACATTCGTTGTCCAGCAATTTGTAAACAAACAAAATGATCGTATTTACTTGCCAAAGAGGTCAGTTGAAAATGTGCACCTTTGGTTGGAAACCAGAACTCAAGCGCCGGCCATGGTGATGGTGTGGGCCGCAATAACAGCCTATGGTCGCTATCCGATCGTATTAATCGACCGTGGTATCAGAATAAATGCCGAATATTATATTCTGGAGGGTGTACCAAAGCCTTGGGCACGCAAACATTTTGGCCACAGACATTGGACATTGTAACAGGACTCAGCACCTTCGCACTCAGCACGCGCCACCAAGAATGGTTACAAAATGAGGTTCCTCGTTTCATTTCCAGCTCACAATGGTCACCAAAATCTCCGGATACCAATCCGTTGGACTATTGTGTCTGGAGTATTTTGGGAAGCAAGGTTTTCACTAAAATGGACAAAAATACCGCAGAGCAACATTCGGGCAGCGTGTGACGGTTTCATTGGCCGTTTGAAGGTGCCAAATGTGACCAATTTGAACAAATCTAAACTTTTTCTAAAATTTGATGCTTTTTCCGAGATATTTTGCTTTCATTCAATAAAATTAAAACAAAAAATATAAAAATCATGGCTTTTGACTTTGTTGCAGTTTTTTATCTCACCCGACAATGGACAATAGACTATTTGGACCAACCCAATTTTAAGTGATAGGACCAAAAGGAAGGATGCCATCAGTCATATGGCTACATGGGCATATACGACCAAAACGTGCCGGTTTTAGACCCCAGGTGTCCATGGACCAAATTTATTTCGGGACATTTAAAGTCAATCTGGGGATATCCGTCCGACCATCTGTCTTTCTAGTTGGTGCTCACGATAACTTTCGAATCGAGTATCCGATTTGATCCAAACTTTGTACATGGTAATATTTTTTACCGAACTTAGATCGAATTTGGAGATGGGAAATATCGATCCACTCCAGCCGGTATCACCCCCATAAAATTTTCACAGACATTAATTTACCGTATAGAACAAGAAAGTAACATCCAATGTTGTGTAAACTTTGCAAATCCCCATATTTTTGTCAGTGCTAGGTCACTGACACATAACAGGTCAACATTTTGAGAAATTATAACAAACATAAAAAGCGAAATAAGCTTCTGATTCTATCCAAGTTGCACACATCTCAATATTTCCCAACACACTAGATGGATGAAATATATCGGACCCCATTTTCTGGTACCTTCTTCATAACGGGTCAAAATGTTAAATAGTTTAAGTCTTATAAGATGTGAAATAACAGTCCGATTGTATCCAAATTTCGCACATGCCAATATTTCTACCAACACAAGATCTGGTGTTGGTCAACGGGTCAAAATTTTTAACAATTATGACTACTAAAATATTTATATTAACACAAGATGAATAATTGTAGCTCTTATAAAATCTGAAATGAGGGTCCGATTGTTTTCAAGTTTCACCCTTCTCAATATTTCAAGCAGCACAAGATTTTGTATGAAAACTAACGAGGATTGACAACTTATTTCTGAAATAGTATAGTATAGTATAGTATAGTATAAGCGACTCAAGTTTTGGTAAAATGTCATCAAGTTCGGAACTGTTGGGCGCCATTTTATTGGTAATCTCTATACATAAATGTATAAATTGTACCATTTCAAAATTGCCAAGATATAATACAATTGTTAATGAATAAAGTCGCAGGTTCTGTCATATTACCTTTTTGGCGTTTTCATCAAATCCATGGCTAGCCAAGATCCCTAAGCAACTCTATCCACACTTTTAAAGTAATCGGTCACAAGGTCAGATTGCTTCATTCCATAAAACTTATTGTAGAAGACTATGCCAATTTTCAATACAGTTTTCCCCATTCTTTCGTTATTGGAAATAGTTGCCACACAAGTGCCATTCGACAAGATTAAATTGCATTTTCCCAAATACAAAAAGAAAGAGAAATGAAACAAAAAATCTTTTCCTCTTTTAATTGTTTTGATTTTCTTTCAATCTCTTATCTTATATTTTTGTGTGCGCCAGCAACCATTCAAAACAATTTTAAGATTTTTATTAAAAAACAAAACGCAAACTTAAATAAACAGTACAACGAGATGAATACTACTTTTTTGTTGTTGTTTTTGTTGTGCCTTAATATTCAGCCGTTGACAGATGCAAGTGCCTGCTCAAATGCCATTTTGTCAATGTTGCCAGAAGTTGGCGCCCAAACGTCGTCCTCCCACCCCAAATTCTCACTCTTTCTCCTCCTTACCTAAATAATTCATGAAAAATGTTTGTTCAAGCCTTTTTGTTTGCCAGAAAGCTTCGGCTGCTGCTG